TGCTGAAGCAACAACGTATAGAAGAAACAGCTTTCCTGCAACATACCAGGTCCTCGATGATCTCCTGGATGCGTTTCTTGGCTGCCTCCACACAGTCCTTGGCTCCCTTGAGGGTGACTTTGTCGCTCTGGGTGCCAGAGCGCGGGAAGCTGACCATCACACCACCATACTCATCTGCAATCTCACGCAGAACTTGCCCTCTCCGGATAACAAAATGACGGTGGTGCTTGGGGTCAACCACCATGGAGTCTTCAACCACGTTATCCTGCCAACAGATGACAGCCAGTCAACCCTGCCTGTCCTGGTGATAAGCAAGAGTTTGCTGCACTCAACAGCAATCAGTTTACAATGTCACCCCGACAAGTGACAGTGAGGAGGATCTTCCTGAGCTCTCATGAAGAGCAGCAGATGGTTTTAGGACAAGCAGGTCCTCCACACTGACTCGTTACATCTTGCTACAGCGACAGGCAAGAAAGGAGAAAAAATAGTTCATACCAGGTTCTTGATGAGGGCCTCCAACTCCTTCTGCGCCTCTTTGACAGCCTCCTCAGTCCCCATGATAGTAATCAGCTCCTGATCTTTGTCCTCAGGGGTTGGGAAGATGATACGGGCCCCAGTGTTGTCACGCACCTTACGGATGTTGCCACCACCCTTACCAATAAGGAATTTGTGGTACTCTGGCTTTGCACGGAGGTCCACGGTGTAACTCTTTGTTTGCTGAAAGAAGTCAGATACCCATGGAACATGTCAATATATAGAAAATACACATCAGCATCAACAGTAAGCATGTAGGTGTGTTACTTGCACCCACATACACAGTGTTGCAAGAGCAAGGTAGATGCAGCATGCTGTTGAAGTCAAAAAGGTATACGATGTCTTAAATTAAAACCACTAGCCGAAAGATGTTCTCAGGGCTGAAAAGCTAACTCTACACTCAGCACGACTGTTGAGAATATGAGCAGAAAAGACTTCCCTGGGAGAAGGGTCTGACACTCACACAAGGCAGCATAACCATTTGCTAACTGACTGCTGCAAGACCGGCAGCAGAGGCAACCAACCGATCAGGAGAACATGTTCACATGCTGATACGAGAAAGGTTTTTTTCTTGCTATTAAAATGACCAGTCAGTCATTCACAACTCAGAGCAAGGTCTTGTAACCCGAGGTTCTCAAACCTGGATATATGCAGTGAAATGGAAGAACTAGAGCTGGAATTCAGAGATCAAGAAAAAAGGAAAGGAGATATGCAGAGTAAGCTGTTTCAGAGAAATGTGGGTACTCAACAGCATTCAAACCACAGGAGTAGGGAGCCTTAACCCTTTGAGTACGTCCCCAGCCTGGGGAGAGAAGCATTACAGCCAGTTCTTCTACCCATGGGGGAAGAACTCATTGTCACAAGGATGGAAGCATAGTTTTCTTTTAATCATCCAAACCGTACTCAAATCCCTCAAAAGAGGATTAGGCTGTCTGATGCCAGAGGCTTCCCAGCAGGCAGAGGGGATCACTTCAACTCCAGAAAAGAAACAGCTGGCCAAACCAATCTGCTCCTTCCCCTATGAGACAAGGCTCACCTTCTCCTCTGCCAGGTGCAGCAGCTGTTTCTTGGCTTTCTCCACATCCTGGGCTGGGCCCCTGATGGTCACGGTGTCACTGCCAGAGCCCTCGGTGGGGAAGTGGATGTGGACTCCACCACACTCCTCCATGATGGAGCGGATGAAGCGGCCTTTGGCGCCAATGAGGGAATTGTGCAGTTTGGAAGGAATAGAGACCTCCACCTCTGTGATGTTGGCCTAAGAGAGGGCAGTACCAGGCTGTTAGTCAAGCTGCAGAAATGTGTTTGCGCTCACTCTGCTTACCCTCCAACTCCCACACTAGGGAGCTAGGAGCTTTACAGAGCTGTGTGTAAGAAACGCCTGACCAGAGGGGTTTGTGACACATGAGCAGCCACAAACTTAGCAGCCAGAATAGACTGACACTCACATTTGTCCCCTCCCTGCCCTCCCCCACTACAAGCACTTCTTCTATATTTATGTCTTCTAGCAACATTTTCAAGTCCCTCATCTGCAACAGGCCAGTCGTTTCACTTACCAGCTCCTTCTGGATGGCAAGAATTCTGTGGCGAGCAGCCTCACAGTTTGCTCTCTTGCCTGTGATAACAATTGTCTCCGAGTTGCTGTTCTCTGCTGGGAGATCAATTTTGGTGTTGCTTTCTTCACGGATCTGCCACAAAGGAAAAAAAAAATTCATCTCAGAGGTGTCCCATGTCACAAAAAAGCCCTTGGAGGCTGTATTTCATGTCACCAATGAGCAGGAGAGAGCAGCAGGTGGGATTTAGCTGCAGGCAGTGACCATACTGAGCACCAGAGGTAGGAAAGATATCTCACCTTCTTGATGTTGGCACCTCCTTTCCCTATGATGTTCTTGTGGAACTGTTTGAAGATGGGGACAGAAATAGAAAAGCTGTTTTCAACCTAAGGGAGAAAGAAAGGGAGAACTGAAGATTACACTGTCATGGCAAGCAAGGCCCCATCACAAGAACTTGATAAATAAGCTTTTGACAACAGGCTTAGACCCAAGGAAGTTCTCTATACGACACACTTGCAAAAATAAGCAAAGGCAAGTACCTTTCCCCACAGCCAATAACAGGTATTACCCTCCTGCCCCCAACCAGCTAGAACAGTGTCCACAGCTCCCTCATTTTGAGGCGTTTCAGCCCTAGCCAAGCCAGTACAGCTCTGCTTTATTCCAGGGTTATCCAGGCATGCAGGAGAGAACAGCAAACAGAAGTCCCCCTTACCAGGTCTGCCACCATCTTTTGCATGTACTTGGTGCACTTCTCCACCTCGTTTTTGGGACCTCTAAGTTGGACGATGTCACTCTTGTGTGCAGGGTCTGGGAAGTTGATAATAACCTGCAAGAGGTGGTCGTTTATAGTCAACTCAAGCAAACGCAAGAATTGCTGTGTCAGACACATGCAAAGGTTGGGGGATCCTATACATCCTCTGTCCCATTCGGAAAAGGGTAACCATTAGCAGCCTCTGGACAAAAGAACTACCTTCTCATACATAATAGATACAGAGCCACTGAATTTATGACTTCAGCGATGATATGCCTACTACCCAAGTAGGAAATATCCCCTCTGTATTCCTCATCTCCTAAAAAGCCTTACCTCTGGGAATTTCTCCCGGATTTCCCGAATCCGCTCGCCCTTCTGTCCAATGATGGTCCGGTGGAATTTCTGCTCAATGATTAGGTCCTTGGTGCGTTCATTTTCCTGATGAGGATAGAGTTTACACTGAGTGTGCAGCAGGAGAGCCACATACTTTTATTTACCAGTTTGCTGCCTGACAGTTTACTTGCCAGCATCGTCCCTCTTTTCTCCTCTAGACAAAATTCACTCTAGGTTAACAGAGAAGGGGTATCCAAGGGAATAGAGGAACACATCTGTGAAGAGGAACTCGCACTTGTCATGAGATCCAAGTGCTCGGAGGGCAAGGGGCACACACTTGCACCAGAAGGTTACAAGGGAACATAAGAGCCCAAACCCTGCGGCCTCCCAAGCATCACATCCTACTCACCATACGGGAAGCGAGTTCCAGCAGCTCTTTCTTGGCCTGTTGGACCCCCTGTGGGTCTCCTTCAATTCTGATCAGGTTGCTCTTCTCATTGTCCGGGGGAATGCGCACAGACACCTTGTAGAGGTCCTTAATCCTGTTAACTTCAAGGCAAGGACTGTGGTGACGCAGTCTGCTAGGCCAAGACTTGGAAGCAAGGCACCTTGATGATCACTGCTTAGAGGCTGTTTAAGAAGTAAACCAGCCTCTGAGAAGGGGCCAGTGGGGTGGGGTTGAAACAGGGGAAAGTGCCTCTTCACCCTGGAGTCCAGCGAGAGCAGATCTGTGCCACACAAGAAGCTGTGCAAGTAAATACTGTGGCATCTACAGAGCCAATTGTTTTCTTGCCAGAGTGAGGTATCTGTTTCTTCCCCAAGCAACACCACATTTAGATCAGAAGATGATCATTCATTTCTAATCCCAAATTCTTTTTTGGGGAGAAACTCACAAAGCAGATTTCCACCACCCCCAGTCGGCTGCTAAAATGTAATTCACACAGAGCAACTTCAAAAAAAAAGAAAGACAATTCTCCAACCATAAAAAAAAAATTTCCTCCAGGACATGGCAAAGTAATCCCACCACTGTTCAACTTCCCAAGACACTTTCATATATTAAAGCCACCCCAAGGCCTCACTGCCCATTTATCTCCTTGTGCCAACACCACTCCAGAAGAGCAGAGGAAACGTGATGGAGACAGCACACTGGATGAGCTACAGAGCCCCTGATATGATCTACTAAACATGGAGAGTCCAAGCATAGGAAGGATTAGAAAGGCACCCCACTTACTGTTAGCTCCATTCTTGCCAATGAGGTGTCGGTGGAATTTGTGGTCAACGTTGATTTCTGCATAATCCATCCGGTTGATCTATAAAGAATTGTATAGGGCTAGGTAGGGTAGGCCTCCACTACTCCCATCTTGTGCCCTAAGTAACTGCCTACTGCCAGTACTGACTCTCCAGTAGTCAACTACAAGCACTCCTCGTGCTATTAAGCAGAGCAGAAGCACTCCTCTGGTTTGAGCTAAGAACACCGTGCTTGCGAAACATTTAAAGGGACTTATATGCCTCTCCAGCTACGACTGAAAGAGAATCCTTCCTTCTCTGCATCAGAAGATTTAAGACCTGCTGCTGATTTTTTAAGAATGCTATGGACAAGCTTCATAAACCAAGGGTTTCTTTCATCTGCCACACAACTTGTCTTCTGCAAGTTCTGTTAAGCATGTCAAGACATCATGGATGTGATATACACATCACCTCTGCTCTGTTGCCCCTTCTTCCCTCCCCTTCTTCTTATGTACTGGAACTAGTAACACCAACTTACCAGATCCTTGACCATGACTTCAATCTGTTCCTGAGCCACATTCACATCTTCTGTAGGTCCTTCCAAAGTGATTTTATCCTCTCCTTCAGTGAATTCGATGTGAACCTTGAGACACAAGGCAACGAATCCAGTAAGAATTTTCCAAGATACAAGCTAAGTCAATGCTGTTAGTCAGGCCTACACCATCAATCCCTGCCACTAAAAGACGGTTTCCTTCCCACAAAGTACACATATCATTCCCATGGTTTCAGAAGTTGGTAACTTACAATTCTGACCATATCACAGTGTCTAGAGCCCAAGGCTTTGGTGCTGTCCTGGAGTCTGCAAGGACTTCGGAGAAGTTACTCACCTAGCCTTTCTCTAGATATCTAACTCACCAGGGAGAAGCCTCACTGAAGTCAGCATTTGCAGGTATCCTACTACATCAATTCTCAAAATAGTACCACATAAAGCTTCCTTTGAAGGGCTCAACCCATGAGGATAACATAGGATGAGTAGTGTTTGCAGCAGTAAAAGAGAGACTCCCCTTAACATTAAGATCTGTGTCATTTCCTCCCTGGTTTTACCCACGCTAGAGTACATTTCTCTCTTCTACAAAGAGTGATCTGGACTAAACCATATTCTACATCAGAGGGTGCTAAGCTAACCAGCTCATCCATACCTTTGGCATCTGCTGAGTTATTTTGGCCAGGTTTTGTCCTTTCTTTCCAATAATGAAACGATGAAGCCAAGAGGGGGCAGAGACCGAGGAGACGGTAAAACTGTTGGCCTGAGAGACAGAAAAAGAGAGAAGCTGTTTGATGGACAGACTGGAAGAGGTCTTCACAAAAATTCACTTCCAATTCCCATGCTGCACCCTCAGTATCGACTTCTAAGCTGCATCTCTAACAGCCCAACAGAGACCACCCGCCCTACACCTGTCAGTGCTCACGGATGTATCTTTATGGGACTTTCAAAGAAAGCCTAGTCCATCTCGTCAGTACCTTTGCATAGACTTCAGTCAATGCTTGCCCAAGCTTTTCAGGCTCGCCTCGCAGTATCACCGTCTCCGAGCTACTGTCAGTGGGTGGGATCTCGACAGAGACTCCAGTTTTCTCCAAGATCTCCTGCAGGGAATTCCCCTTGGGGCCGATGACGTACTTGTGCTGGGACTTCTTCACCTCCACTGCAATGGTAGTAGTCTTCTTTTTCTGTAGGGGCAGAGGCACTGGGGCATCAATCACAAGGGGGCAGGGAAGGACAAGAGCAAAAGGAAGAGGCACAAGATGCAGTGAAACTCTGCCCAGGAAAGAGCAAAGCAAAGGTGAGCACAGCGGTTCTGCAGTACCCTAGCACCCTTTGGGCCCCTGCCGACAGAAAGCCTTGTGCTCAAAAATTCACAGGTGAAGTACAAAACTAGTATTCTGTGTCAAGCTCCTTGGGACACTACATGGAAGAGACCACATACACACACACACACACTCTTGCACAACAGGGCTCAACACCAGCTGTCCTGCAGGCAATACTGTGTAATGCAACACCATGGAGGCTATAAGCTGATTATCTCTGTTGAAATCCAGACTGGTACAAATACAGACCTAACCATGAAGAAAAACAGCCCAACAACCCACAACAAGGATATTCACAGCAACGTTGGCTGTGGAAAATAAACTGGAGTGAAATTCACTCTTCAGCAACTTCTACTTATGTAGCAACTTTGATACTGTCAGCTGGCCACGACTGTAGACTTCACACTTCCTTCCTTCCTGCGTAGCACCTGTGTGAACAAGAGCCCCGGGAGCTCTTTGTGGTCTGCTAATTCCCATGACACAGAAAAGCGAGAAGTCTGTCACCTCCTTGGTAGAATCACCCCAAGTCCCACTCTGCTGAGTAAGGAAATGGTAAGATCCAGGGCCGTGTACTGCAAGGGCTGCTGAGCCAGAGCTGACATGAGGAGGATGCAACAGAGTAGAACAAGAAGGAAAAAGGGACTACGAGCAGGTGGGGGGATGTTGGGAAGCTTTATGGACCATCCATACCTTCTCCTCATAGATCTTCTTAACACGAGCCACGGCCTGGGCTAGCTGCTCCTTTTCTCCTGTGAAGACTATCTCTGTCTTGTTGACGCTGGGTGGAGGAATGTTGATGCGCGTCCCTGTGTCCTGCATGAGCTCGCTCACCAGCTTGTTGTAAGGCCCAGCAATGAAGGGATGGTACACTTTCTCCACGTCCAGCCGCTCCACAGCACGCTTATCCTGGAAGAGCCCAGAACAGACCTCAGTGGGAACTGCCCTCCGTATTAGTCTCTGCCAGACACAGCTAAGTTCCCAGTGCTGTCTTGCTTGACACTCTAGCCCAAGCACCCTTTTCAGTTTGCACGCTTGTAGATCTCCATCACTTTCAATCTACAAATACTGCTGTTGTTGCTGATGATGATTTACAATATTCACCTCTGTAATCTCCTGCCTTATCTCAGCTGGCACCTAATATGGTTCACTTCAAATACGAAACACATTTATCTGACTTCAGAGATGGACAAAATGGAGAACCAGAAGTTGCAGACCTGGCAGTGATGCTCATACAGCCAGTGGCACAGTATACGTCTCTGTTCAGACTAACATATTGGCCACTCACTGTGGCCATGGTGGCTACAAACATCTAATATAACACAGCGAATCAAAATGGCTGTCCAGCTAATGCCATGAGAGAGATCACAGTACTGCAGTACCTGCTCAGCAGAGATAAGCAGGATCTCGTGTCGGGCCTTCTCAATCCCTTCTTTAGTGCCGGTGATCTTGATCTGGTTGCTGGGGTCATCTGGGCGGGGGATCTGGATTTTGGTTGCAGTTTTGAGCTCCAGGTCCTGCAGCTTCTCACCATTCTTTCCAATGACAAAACGGTGGTGCTCCTTAGGGATGGCAACTGTCGCTGAAGCCTGCCACACAAGAATCAAACACCTGTGAGAACCCTTGCCTGCACTGGCAGATCCACGGGAACAGAGCTAGGGAAAGCAAGTTAGATGCTGCTTAGCTGTACCACTGAGGAGCAAACACAATGCCTTCCCAGCACATTCTGTCCGAGGACTGATACTGTACCAGAACAGTTGATCTACAGTGTCTGTATATCAGGAGTCTAAAAGCCACCTCTTCCTCAAAACCCTTCTGTTTGCACAGGCATAGTACTCTGAATTAGCAAAGCCCTTTAGGCACAGACGAGGAGGCGCCTATCCTCCAGTGTAAGACACTGGAGCAGTACCAGACAGCAACTGCGATGATGGCTCACGGGTGGAGTTTATCTGAACTCTGAAATCTGCTGCCAAGGCTACAGAGAACAAGACACACAGTCTGACTCCTAGGAAACAGAAATCCAACACCAGAAACCTATTCCAGCAGCCAGACAGCTAGGAGATGCTTACTGCTACTAAGTACTAAGGTGTCTTCAATGTAGCACATGCTGCTCCTGGGACTGCTTCTAGAAGGCCCCTCTTGGAAAAGGGGTTCCAAGAGGTTCTCTCAATCTACTATTAAAGGGGTAGTTTGTAACAGGGACTCCTGACTTCTTGCCTTCTCAATGAGCTTTTACTGACCTGATAGCTTATGATTGCTACCATGCTCTCAATGCCTGTGAATATGTAACTACTAACAGTAATTAGACACTTAAAATTCAAGCTACAATGTGTGTGGGGGGGGAAATCAAAAAAAGATCACTTGGTGTGACTCTTCAACTCTGTGTCCCTGTACTGAAGACAGCCAAGCCTAGGAGAAGTTGGAATACAGACCTTTCAGACCTGGGGCCAGGGCAGTAGGAGGTATATTTGAGGAGAGTGGGTCACGGGCAGTATGACCTGAACTATTTTTTCAGATGCACATTATGTAGGGTTTGTCCCATTCTCTTACCTCTGGCAGGGTATGATACATGGGCTGAACAGCACTAAGCAGATATGGTATTAACTATTGCATTAACTACCTTTGACATTACACTTTAAGACATACTATGAGACCTGGCTGTGATACATCCTAACAAGAACTACCATCTTGATTATGAACTCAAGAATCTGAAGGTAAGAAATCAAAACCTAGAGGACTGAAAGGGGAAGCAACTGAAACAACGGGGCTGTGGCTCCTTACAGTGTGGCTTGAGTTACACAATCCAGAACCCTGACCTGAAGGTTTCAGCTTTTGGCAGGACTTCTTCTTCTCTACTTTTCTTTCTCCCATCCCTCCATGTTCTCCTCTGAAGGACTTCAGAGAAAGCACAGTCCCGTTCTCAGACACTAGTAGCTTTGTGTGAGGGGCCTGCACCCCCTCCGGCACCAGCACCTCAGCACAAAGTCACTGTTTGCCATTCAAGTGTTCAGAGGTTGCAGACTCCACCCTTCATGCAACACCATGGCCTGTAATTAGCTTTGAACCCTATTTTAGGCCTCATTTGCATTCCAAATTGCCAATTGTGTGCTTTGAAAATATATGGCAAAGCTGAATTAGTCATCTAATAATACCTCTTCAGCTTATACGCACACACGCCCAAGGGTCTCAAAGCATTTGCGAGTCTTGGGGAAGAGCAAAGATCAAGTGTGAAACAGTTAGATGCCCTCACCTGAGTCTGCAGCCGAGCGACAATCTCCTTCCGAGCCTTCATGACTGCTTCCAGCTTGCCAGAGACCATGATCGAAAGGCCCTGGTCCTTTGCGAGAGACAGCTCCAGGTGAGCTCCTGTCTTCTGCATGATGTCAAGGCAGATCTTGGCCTGCTCGCCTTCTCCGAACTGATTCATGTCCTTGTATTTCCTCTCCTCCAGTGGCACATGAAACACCTGCTCAGCCACAGGACAGATAAAAAAAGGGCACAGAAAGCAGTCAATATGCTTTTGATTGCCAGTGCCTCCCTCTCTTATTGTCATACAGGACTTTACTGGCATACTAAGTTCCCAGGTTTGTGCAACCCATAGCCTTTCCAGTGGCTGTGACCAGGGAAAGTGTGAGAACACTGCAGCAGGCAGCCTGTCCCACACTGGATGTCTTCCTAAAGTACGTCAGGCAGGCAAAACTGCTAAACTATGGGGGGAATACTTTAATGGATTAGCGCTCACTACGTGAATTCTGCAATCCTCCCTTCAGGCCTGCTCCAGCTATTTTTGGAACAGAGATGCAGAGGTTTTTCTGGACAGTTTTCTAACACATCCCTCCCCTCCAGAGCAGTCCTAGCTCTCAGCTGCAGTCCTCCTCATGCCCCAGGGGAAAGTACAGCAAAGAGGCTGTCAATCTGACATACTAAAGGATTTCATACTCCAGGGAAAGCTTCACTTCACCTACTTTTTGGAGGGAGGAAAAGGAGGGAGACAAGACACCCACTCCCACCAACCTGAGTGATGACAGAAGCCTTTATTGGTCGGATTTTGCTCCAGGGCCCAGCGGGCTCCTGGGCAGCTTCCAAACATGGTGCTTTCTCAGGGAGCGGAGGGAAGGCTTCCTTGTAGGTTGGAGGATCATTCTCTTCTTCAGAGTTTAAAGCTGTAACTGGGGTGAAGCAAATGGGGTAAATGAGATGCTCTCCCTGCAGAAATGCCCTAATTCATAGGCAGTGCAATTGTATTTAGGCACAACTAACAAGGGAGAGCAAATGACTTGTGCACTACTATTAATCCTATTACAGTTATGCTTGTGGAGCAGCCGAGTCTGGAGCACACCTGACCTCAGCACAGCACAGACTGCAGTAAATGCCATGAACAACCAGCCTTGTCTGAGCAGACACCATGGATGCAGAAAGTGAATGTGCAAGTGAATAGTGGCAGCAAGCAGCACATTACTGCCAACTTTGTCAAGGGGGGCTTAATTAGGGGAGACCAGGCTGAGCAGAAAGAAGTGAAAGGAACAGAGCAAGGCTGCAGGTCAGAAGGGGTAAGACAAACATACACCCAGAAGGAAGGCAGAGAGAAGCGCTATAGTTAGGGCAGAGTCCAGGGAAAGTCGAACCTTATGTTCAACTCGGTTGTGCATTGGGCTGTGCCAAGCGGGCCAGCTCGCAGCTGGAGGATGGGTGCCAAAACCCATCAGTGAGTCAGTTAATACAGACATACTGACTTTCCCCAGCACCTGGCCAAGCAAAGGAAGGAAATGACAGCCCAGCACATTGATCCCATGAGGCCCTCTTGCAGCCCAATGCTCCACTCTTGCATGTGCCCCGTCCCGGCTGACAGCATTGCTAGCCAGAGCTCTATGGAGATCTGAAGGTTGCCTCCTCCTGGCTTTGCGCTGTGCACCATCACCACTGTGCTGCTGTTGGTGGAAAGCCAGAGTTTGGCGGGCCACCAATCTGGGAATGGAGAATGCAATGTCTGCACACTTGTGGGGAACCAGATGCGTGGAGCGAGCTTGGGCAACAGCAAGGAACCTTGCCTGTGCAGTCTGTATTTAGAGGCACATCACAGGAACTCAACTGTGTTTTCTCACCTTTCACCTGCTGCTGAGCCAGGCCGCTGCGGTGTTCAGCGAAGCTCTCCTGGGTCAAAACTGCCACGGAGCTCATTGTCGACTTCCCACCCACACACAATCCGGGTATGCCACTGGAAGAGACAGAGGTGGCAGCACTATTACCAACACCATTCAAGATGCACAAAAGTCATTCCAGGAAGACAAAGTATGCGTTACTGAGCACTTTTCCAGTCAGCCTCTGGAAAAGCACCTACAGTGCGAGTCAGCTGCCCAGCTCTCTTGCTGAACCAGACTGAGGGGGATATTTCCTCACAGCACAGTGGTCACCAAAACCAGAGCTCCTCATTAAGAAGGCAGCGGATGTGCAACCTAAGAAGGTCACTGGAAAGGGAGACACCAGAAGTTGTTAAAGCATACTCTAATTAATCTATCATTTATTAATGGTGTGCAATTTTTAAATGAGTATCTGAAGGTCTGGATAGTCAGTCCAAGACCATTGTGTAACCCTGGAGAGAAAACACAAAGGGCCCAGGACGCTGCCTCTTCCTGAAAAAGACTTTAGGTGCCTGAGCTCCTGCTGACTTAAGGGTTCACTCAGAAAGCCACTCTGATAAGCAAGCTCAGCAAGAGCAAGATCTTTGGCTCTCCCAAAATAAGAACTTACCAGCTAAATGGTCAGTAGCCAGAGAGTCCGTCCTGTAAGCTGCCCGTTTGTCAGCCTGCCAGCTTTTGCTTTACAGAAGGGGAAAAAAAAAAAAAAAAAAAAGAGAAAAATATTTATGTGACTGCTCCAAGACAACAGGAAAACATGACACCCCCGTAACTGTAACTTTCAAAAGAGCATCGTCTGTACTGTGTTTCAAACTTGTACCCTATCCAAAATGTTCTCATACGGAGTCACATCTCACCATACTTTACCCGTCATGTTTTACTAGAGCTACAGGCAACACCACTATCTACTTAAACCTCACAGCAGGAAGCCTGGGGTAGCTACTCTTTCATCACACTGGCTACAAGAACAGTCATCCAGTACCAGGCAAAAATACAGTCAATTAGTAACAGATGTGCAAGATAGACATGAAATTTCAGGGTTGCAAGCAAGAGCATCAACATCTAGTCAGAGGAGACTAACAACCTGAAAACCTGCCAACAACACTGCCATCAGTCAGAAGTTAGGAATGTAGTTTAGTGGAGCTTGGGTGAATCAACACAGATGTCCTCACAAACTAAGGCAAACACTCAGGGCTATCCACACACAGCTGCTGGCCAGTCCACCTCTTCATTTTTTATTGTAATAAGATCATGCACCAGGCACTGAACTCTGTCTCCAGGCCTAAGTCTGTAGTCGGAAGAACAAAACCCACGCTGGTTTATGTGGACTATTTTAAACGCGTACACAAGATGGAACCAGGAAAAAATATACGCCGTTGGTGGGAGCTTTACATGTCCTGTATCTGGATCTGCAGATTTAGTGAAAAAGTGTTTAAGAATACAAGTAAAAACATAAAAGCCAGTACAGTACACACTACGCCAGATGTACAACAGTTGCCCTTACCTGGAGTCCCCCCAGTGGTTATGTGTGCTCTTGCAGGGCTTGTGCTCTCCTAAAATCCACTGCCTCCAACTGCTCATGGTGGGAGACATCCCTCTCCCACACAAACCCTGCAGTGTTGCTCAGACCTTCTTTTGAACAGCAAACTTGGACACTTTTCATTAAACTGACAGTTGCCATTTCTGACCTCCCAATGTGCCAGAAAAGACTCCCAAAAACACAGTGTTGCTGATGTGGTGTCTCACATTGCGCCTATGTTGTGACACAGTAAGGGAAGGCGACAGAGGCAGAAGGAAAGGAGGGAAGAACAAGAACAGCAGTAATGCAACTGGGCCATACAGGCCTGATCTGCACCTCAGTGAAGGCCAGAGTATTCTTCCCTACTTCAACATGCCTCTTATCAGGCACAAGGCAACACCACCTGCGCCATCAAAGCAACAGAGCTAATGTTGTAATTAATCCAGTAACGACCTGCTACTATGAGGTGGCAGCTACCAGGCCAGCCAGCCAGCCATGCTGTCTGAAGCACAGCTGTTGCAGCACGCAGAGGCTCTGCAAGGCATTTGCTGGTATACACGTAAGGGTGGCTTAGAGATCTCAGAGAAATACCTCAGTTCTCCTCGCTGTCCATGGTTATGCCATGGTGTAACACATGATTACATGTCCATGGTACATGACTGCGTGGCTCAAGCTGCTGCAGAACCAAGGAAAGCGTGTTAGCGGCACGGCACCTGTCCCAGACTATTTCGGCAAGGCCTGCAGACTCAGCCGTTGGCTCTGCCAGCCCGTTGGGTCGCTTTCGAGGGTGCCAGCACCTCATGGCAAGCTGCAAACAGGAACGAGGGCAGGAGCGAGAAGCACCCCAGACATCACAAGCAGCTGCCAAGATCTGGCTAGAGCCTTGCTAACAGCATGGATGTGCTTGTAACTCTCATTTCTCAGGAAAGCACCACCTGGCTCACCTTGCATGTGCTCTGCTCCTTAGAGGAGGAGGGCAAGGATGACAAGTCAGTGAATGACACCCATTCAGAGCCACGACCTCAAGGCACAGCTGCTGGTTTCACTGTGCCCACACCAGCTGCAGAGATCTTCCTTGCAGCCTCCACCTCAGAGAAGAGCTAGACATTCAAAGAGAAATCTAAGGGCAGCGTATATCCCTATGAATTTCTGCTTTGTCACCCATACAGCAAGCTAAGAACAAACGCTCTTCATCTCCGATAACCCCAAACATCTGGTATACTGTAGGCCTCAGGGACTCATCTCTGGCCAAAATCAGAGGCAGCCATCAGAATGGTATTTTAAACGTAATGTCAAAACCAGCAGCTCACGCACCGCATTTGGAGCCTACACCTCCTTGACTTCCCACTTTAGGTTTTGAAACTAAGGTTACAGCTACGTCATGCTAGCTAGCCTGTGGCTGACTGGGTCAACAGGTTTTAAACTGCCTACTTTATACACCGTCTGTAGCGCTGGCTTTGTGCGCCGAAAGAAGTTTCAGAAGTCTAGAGCGCACTTAAAGAGAACGAAATGATCCTAAAAATAACCTCCAGCAAGGGCCAGACCTAACCACACGGGAAACATTTGTATGAAGAGAAACAAAAGCAAAGTCTTGAGTTACACTGCCAATACAATCAGTACTTGTGGACAGAAATGTCGGTTATGCGTTATTTAAAACTGTATTTAATAAAAATATTAGCATTTTGTTAATCGAGGTAACTAAAATCAGATGCAGCTAGGATTGCGCACCGCCACAGGGCTGGGCTGGTTGTGGCGGCCACTGTCCTCTGTCAGATGTTCACGCAGGGCAGGGTGATCTCTTGGTAGATGAGTGGTCATACATGAAAATACTTGCTTTCTGAAAACTGACTGGCTCTCCCAGACATCGAAGGCCCAGGCCCCTTGATTTTGGGGGGATCATGCAGGCGGACAGCTGCTGAGTGGCAGGACAGTCTTTCCTTTCACACCCATTCCTGAAGTGGTACATCCGGGAGCGCAACACAACTGGTGTCTTAGACACAGCCAGACTTACACCTGACCTATCCCCTGTATTTACTCTTCCACCTTCCCCCCGTCACTTCCTGCCCTTGGACAGGGGGTGTT